ACAATTGCAAATTTAAAAAAGAAAATATTAAAGAATCTAAAAAAGAAAAAACGAGCAAAATTATTTTTCTACCACCAACATAAATCAGGAGGGAAAGAAAGTATACCCCCCTGAATTATGTTGGTGGTAGCGTGGACACTAGTTGGACATTGAGTGATGGTACGATATCTGGCCGCACCGACGTTACCAAACACGCTCTCGAAGAAAAGTGCCCCATCTCACCTATCCCGAAAAACGCGTTAAGAACACCGCTGCGACGAGATTCGAACCACCTACCAGAATACATAGAAATCGGTATTTTACCCAATGCCGCTAGTGCCCACGGTGACGTCATGAAGCAAAAATGTACTTATTTAAATGACACAAATTGAAGAGTTTATACATGACTTATTATCAATAATATTATAATAGATGCATCCCTTGTCTGGTCAAAGATTTTTAAAATTTTTCAGCGGATTTAAAACATTTTTCATTTTAATAATACCTTGGTAAATTCAATCTTAGTACCAATGGTCAATTTGTTTATTAAATTTAATCAAATTATATAAACTCGTTAATGTTTTATTTAAATATTTACTGAGTTCTTTATTATTCTGTAATGGTAATCATAAAACCGTTCATGTTAGACGTACATTAATTGTTTTAAATTATTAATATAAAATGATATTTATTTAATGAAAGCATAATTTTTTTATTTATTAATTCCCACCACTATAACAACAAAAATCTGTTTCAAAAGCACATAAATTGCAATAATAAGTTTAGTAATATGATATCAATTTACTAATGATTTTTTATTGTCAAAACAAATTTGTTTCCTATTATATTAACAGATTAAAAATAGGGGTTCCCAATTATAAAAATTATAATTTTTAACTTTAATTTTTTTAAGTCAGCATCAATTGAATTAATTTAAAAAAATATATATATATCAAATTTTCTAATTTGTAAGGATACATAAAATGACCGAAATTTTTATTTAGATGATCTTTATTTTTTCTTTGTTAAACATAATTAGGGGTTTATTTCATATTCAATAAAATGTATCTTTATAGTTTTAAAAACCTAATATCCTTCACTGATCTCCTCATATACATTTATGAATAATAAATGATGCGTTAGTAAAAAATTACAAATTGTTTAAAAAAAATATTACTCACTAATAGTAGCAGTAATCAAATAAAAAAACTCAATAATTCATATAATAAACTTCAGTAAAACGTGTTTTGTAAACATTTAATTAATGAAAGTGAAGCTTTATTAATAAAAGTAATCAGATGTGACTTTATGAATAGCTCATATGTATATTATACTTGGTACTTCAACATAAAATTTTGAAGAAAAATATTCCATAATTTTTATAATATTAACAATAACGTATTATGATAATCATTTTTAACACGTTTATATTAGTTTCATGTATAGTTTAACCAACATATATGTTATTGCTGACGGTTTGCACACAACACTCGTAATGCAAAGGACTGTTAATAAATTCATGTAAAAGTCTAAGCACGATTACATTTAGAAGGTTAATTTTAGGTTATAATTACACTTATATGTATATGGTAGTATTTTAGTTATTTTAGAGGAGCAGTTTTCAATTTGCGCGTATAAAAACTTCCCTTTTTTTCTTTTCCCGCTAATCAGGTAAAACCAAACCTTTTAATAGGTTTGAAAAAAAGATAAGGGCGGGTATTTTTATGAATACTGGTAATAATGAATATTCAGTGTTTTTATACTTTTTTACCAACTTAAATTTGAAATAACTTTTTAATAATTTTTCAATAAAAAAAAATTATTAATAATTAACCCTTCCTAGAGATGTTAGAAGTAACTTAACCCATTAAAACCTCCGATCGGCTATAAGAANATTAAAACCTCCTATCGGCTATAAGAACTCAGCTAAGTTTCATCGCTATCAATGTGTACATTATTTTTATTGCAGTACATTGGTATGTTAGTTAATTAACTATTTTAACAACTATATTTACTACTTACACAATATCAAGAATCAATTTATACGATTTAAAAGAGTTCTAATTTCAAAATAAAGAGTAAATCAATTATCTAATTAGTTGTTATTTCATGTTTAAATTAATTTGACATTTATCACTGTTCTTAAACTAAAATCATAGATTTAAATTCAAAACTTATTTTTTAGTATGTTAAATATTCTTAGAATTTCACTATATTACCAAAACCATATTAAATTTTATTTTGATAAATTAAACCATAAAAATTCAAATCACAGTTATTGCTTTTAAAATGGTACAATTTTCAATTTTTTAATGCTGTACAAGATACAAAAAAATAAACTTAATACTTAATCAGTCAATAATAGATATAATATTATTTACATTTCAATATTATTTTGTATTAAAATAAAAAAATAACAAGGTAAAATTAAAAATTAAAATTTTAAAGAGAATTTAATCAACTATACAGAAATATTTACAAAATTAGTTATTAATAAAGAAAAAAATTTAATTTTAAATGGCTTATAATACATTGTGTTACTAATATTTTTACATTAAAATTTAACCTTAAAATTTGCTAGATCTTTCCTACAATGATTACATTACATAAATATTTTTGGATCCAATCGTAATCTTAATTTAATTGAATAATCCATAAAGTTATTATATTAGTATAGAAAAATTTTTTGCTATATTTTAATTATAAAGTTATAATTACTAATTTTTATTATATCTTGTCTATATTCTGATAAATACATTATTATTAAAACAAAAAATTTATAATTAATACTATACTTACATTTAAAATGAATAAATTTGTGTACATAGAAATAATTAACAACTATCAAATACTATATTTTTTGTGGGCCTCAACAAAATGACACTTTTGCTCGTTTGTCTATTAAGGTCAGAGTTGGGTCAGTATAATACACAAAAGTATAAGTATTATATGTACATATTACACATCGACTTTTTTACAAACAATACTCATATCATGACAAATGATTCATAATTAAAAATAGATTATTTTTTTAATTTATATTAAAATATTGTATTTATTTAATTAATTTTTACTTCACTTTAAAAATATAAAAATATAATCGGTGAAATCCCAAAAAATTTCCACAAGAATGACTAACACATAATTTATCACATAAAATATAAAAACATGAAAAAGTTAATATTTTGTTAATTTTATGAGATCATCAATTGATGTTTATTAAATAAAAGGTTTAAAATCAGTGTGATCTATTAAAGAATAAACATTAGTATTCATAAATTTTATGTAAATGTATAATACTTTTATTAAATGTATAATACTTTATGTTATTATTCAATAACATAAAGTATTATACATTTTATACATCTACATGTATACATGTTCTGTAAGTAAGGAAACAGGTTTCTATAGTTCTTATGTTTATAACAATTGATCTGTTTCCTTACTTACTGAACACCAGTACGTGTGTATTATGCATTGTATAAATAAAATCAAATATACATTTTATTACCCAACCCTGATTAAGGCTCAAAATTGCATGAATTTGTATGTTATACAAAATGCTGGTTGTTTTTGAAACCAGCTCTTCAATTGAATCAGTCATTTCAAAAACTACATTTGTTACTGATTTTTCAGTAATGACTTTGTCAAATTTGATAATTATACATTATTATGTATACTTATGTATTTTGGGTAAAAATTTCATTTTTCAGATTCATATTTACTACAAAAGTCAATGACTTCATTCAAAAATGTTTCTATATTATAACATTTTGTCAAGTTAAGTTTTTGTTATTAAAGAGAAATATTTTATTTTTTTTTTAATGTTTTATTAAAAGTGCAATGGTTTATTAAGCAAAAACAACAAAATGTTTATTTTGAAAAAAGTTGTTACCTATAACCAAGTTAAGATAAGTTAAATTTTTAGGAAAAAAAATATATTATTTTATTTTATTTCTTGATTTAGATTTCATATTATAAATTTCTATTCACTGCAAAAACAATGCAAATCAAAAATATTTTATTTCAATTTAATGAATTTGGTCAAAGTTAGACTATTTAAAACTATGAATTATGAATACCAGAAACCTTAAAAATAAATTAGTAAATAGGTGTAAGTGCAAAACAAGTTCTAGAGCTATTAAGTTTTTTTTGATACATGGAAATTTAAATTTTATTACTTATGTTGTTTTTGAAATGACCGTTTCAATTATTTTTTATCATTATTTTGTAGAAAACTTTTTTTCTTTTGCTCAACTTAGAATTTTTTTCAATTTGGAATTGTGAAACACCTGTATGAGAGTTATACTTCATACTTTATTCCATGACAGAATATGCGTAATACATGAATTCATGTAGAATATGCGTAATGCCATAGAAAATTAAGTATTAAGATAACCCTCCTACAGACATTTTAACAATTCCTAATGAAAAAAAACCTGTTTCACAAAAAAAAATCTTGTTTCCTCATAAAATGCATTGCAATCATGCCTCCGCTAGTATAGGTCTTGGGGTTAGGTCTAGTATGGAGTTTTTGTTCTGAATAACTATTATTACTCCCTTTAAAAAAAAATAATAATATCTTCATCATGTAATAATTTTTATCGGAAGAAATTTATCCCACCTAAACTACTTTCTTTCAAGCACAAGAAAAACTGTAAAACCTAGCACTGACACAATGAAAAGTGAATAAGTAAAAATGTATTTATTTTAATTTATAAAATTTATATATATAATTTTTTTTTAAATTATATGTTAGCATCTTCTAATATTAAATAACTGTCAATTATAACAATTAAATAATGCAAAGTGTATGAACCTTATATCATCCTATGCCCTTTTCTTGGCACGGCACTGATGCCAATTTTAAAATACAGTGGAACCTGGATAAGTTAAAGCTCAAGAGAAATTACTTTTTTAACTTAATAAGGTTTTTGAAAAAGGAAAAATTTGACTTCAAATTATTTAAGAATTTGAGTTTGATTCCAATTGGTAATACTAAAATTTCTGAAGTNGAATTTGAGTTTGATTCCAATTGGTAATACTAAAATTTCTGAAGTTTTAATGAATTTATGTATTTATTTTAATAATTAACAGCTTTTAAATTTAAACTAATTGCTTTAATTAGTCTAACCTACCACATTCAAATCTTTTAGCTATAAAAATACAAATAATTTATTTGTATTATCTATAATATTTATTTCTTTTGAGTAAAATTTCTTTTTTCAAAGAACGCAATATTCTTAACCTTATAATTAAAATGCTTAAATTTTAAGCAAATTTTTTTCTTACAACTCCTTCTAATTGAATTTAATTGGATAATTAATCTAATAACTACATGTATAACTCTAATACATTACCTTACTTTAAGTTCAAAATTTAACAATTATCAATAGATTTAATTTTTTTAAGTTAAAGTATTACTATAAGAATAATTAACATACAAGAGATTTAACTACAATACTGTCATTTCAATATAACAATTCATTCTATTATTGATCTCACAATATTCTTATACTTGATAGAAGAAATTAAAGTTTACTAATGTTATATGCTTAGAATCATGTATACAAAACCAATAGACATCATATTTGTAACTGAAATTAAATTTAAAACAAATTAAATTAACTTACATGAGATAAAAATGGTAATGCTAAAAAGCAAAATTTATTTTATTAAACTCACTCAAGTTTTTTTGAGAACTGTGCATTTATTTGATATGTGACTCTTTTTCATGATATAGTCATGGCAATAGCAAAATCATTATTAAATCATTTGTGTTTCTTAATATTAATTTTATGATATCAAAGTATCTTAATTACAAGTGCATACTTAAAAGTACAGATACTTACAACAGCAGGTATTAAAACTAAAAATTAAATTAAAAACAACAAATTTTTAATTAGATTATTATGTATGAAGAAGTAACTAAAAACTTAATTTACAATAGAAAAAATAATGTTAAAAGAATTTATGGATGACGACTTACGTAACAAGTCATAATAATTATAATTTGTGCAAATTTTCACATATTATTACAGAGTAAAATTAAAATTATGTTTATTCCAATCTACGCATGCTTAATCAAATATTTATAAACTTATCAAAATAGTTGCATAATATTTTCTTAACATCTACAGTGAAATATAAACACAATCATAAATAAAATTATTTTTATTAAATGGAAAATTAATATTCAGTAGCTACTCCATACAATTTTTTAATTAGGTATACATACTTTAGGTTTATTATTTTTTGCCCAGAGTTGAATTATTATCTTTTATTTAAAAAATGTATACAAAACTTTAAATTGACAAATGTAAGAAAACTTCTAAGTACTTATTTTATTATAAATAAAATTATTATTTTTTATTTAAATTACTAAATATTTCACTATTTCCCATACTCCAATTATGTAATTTCATAATTATTGTCATATACAAATTAGACTCATGCAATATTTTATTTAAAATCATTGCCAGAGTTAAAACTACAAATTAATAATCAAATTTTAACCAATATTTCAATTAAGTCATAGTTCAATTTTCATATGACTAAATAAATAGAATACTTATAAATATGTTTGATGCATACACATTACACTTAAGTTTTTAATAACTCTATTTTTTTAAAACTAAGCTACTTCATAAAATCAAATTTGTTTCCCCAACTATAAAAATTATTAAGTTTTACAAAACAATTAAAGTTTAGTATAAATACTACCTAAATAAATTATTAACTAATAAAAAAAATTTATTCAAAATAGTTAACGCTAGATGCTAGTTTTAAAATTATTATATTAAGTATAACAATATTATTCAGCATATTATACTCATTAGGAATAGTTGGGTAATATTGTCATAAATGAAAAATAATTAATAAAAAAATCAAGATTACAATGATCATTTAAATGTAATATGAGCAAAAAAATAGATTGTCAACTTATTCTTTTGGGAGCCTGAAGCTTCCCCTAAATATGACCCTAATTATACTGCACATCTATTATTACATCATTATATCTACTTACTTTTTAAGTAACAAAACATACTACAGCAAAATTAATTTTCCTTAAAAGTGAAAAATATTGGTTTTCCTTCATTTAGGTATAAATTCTTAGTAATTTTGTCTTTCAACAGCCGAAAATCCAAAAATTTTAAATATCTTCTTAAGTAATTTGTTTCCTTAATTTTCCAATATAAATAATTTTCCTTGTGGCTATATGATAAAAGAAAATGATCAAAGAAGATCAATATAAGCATTGTTTCGTAATTGAACTTGCCTATTATTTGACATTTTTTTCCTTAAATGATCTCAATAAACTTTCAAATATAATTTATTAATTGTAACGATATAAAAATAAAATAATTAATAATTAATATGTTACATTGAATCACTTTATTTATAACATTATTAAACATTTAATATACAAAAACGTTAAACAACGCAAGTTTGTATACAGATGTCGAGTTAATTTAATACTCAATTCAGTTTTCTAAGGTTATGTTAAGTCTTATTGAATAATGAACAAGAATTTTTTTTCACGCGTGATTGTAATACAGCGGCGAATTAGTATTTAATTCAATACAATTTATGAGGTTATTGAATGAGCGCAATGCTCGATAATTAATTTACCAAAAAAAGAACAATTATTTTGTCTTTAATATAACCTCATACCTGT